CACAGCTGTTGAGCTTTTCAAATGTCGTGGGTCCCGCATGCAGAATCTTCAGGTAGCTTGATCACCTTGGGAAAGAAACCCTAACTACTGCCATGAACACGGCACAACCACCGGTGATGGATGAAGAAGTGCTTCGAGTTACTGACCCAATTATGGCGCCGATGCTAATCATGTTTCGCAATGAAATACCCGAAGCTTTTGGCCTTTGGCATCATGTTGATTCTGCTTCAACCTATGTTTCTTCCCAGATATGAGTTTCCTTTATGCGTCCGTTGTGGCATATTATGTGCTTTGCTGAACTCAAGTTTGGCGTCAATCGCTTCCCCTGATTATATTGCACATGTATGTAACAACATACTGTATGTATATGCATTTATATCTGCATATATACATATATATATATATATAAATGTTCCCCCTCCCCATAATAAACCTACCCGCCCCACACGTTTGTAGAGTGCCAAGGCTCCGATACGGGGCTCAGAAATCGTTCAGCTGTAGTACAACTGGAGTTGGGGTCGCCGAGATTTGTTTGGTGTAGAATTGGCTTATTATTGGCCAATTCTAATTTCGGGTCTAGAAGAATATAGATTGTTGATTGGTTCAAAACAGGGGAAGATGAGAGGGACGATTGATTATCATGCCTCCACAAGATTCCTTTTGATCCCCACCATGTGGAAAAGCCGGTGGCCAGTGCTACCTGTAGTTCGCGTCGGAGCAGGGGACATTGTGGCTGGCCTTCTGCAAACTGTTCCATAGCCTTTGCTTCATCAGCTGAAAAAACGTTTGCAGAATGCTACATTGCAGAAAGCCAGTGGCTGTCTGCTGTTGGCAGGATGCATCTTATCTTGAAGAATGGCATGCTGCGACAACACACAGAGATCCTTCGGCTGGTCCTTGACATTGGCCGGAGATCCTGCCAGACCACCCCATGGCTGCAAGTGGCTTCAAGCCGAGGCCCGGCGTGCTTTGGCCAACGCGCGCCAGCTTCGGCAGCTGCCGGGGCCCCGCCCTCCGGAAGGGCCTTGGCGTTGGGGTGATGTTTTTCATTTGTGGCTTCGGAGGATGAATGGTGCTGAAAGGAAATCGGGAGGAAAGCCTTTTGCATATTGGGCCATATTGGGCCCATTTTTGGAAATTAGGAGTACAGGTGTCCAAACATTCTCAATCGGGGTTAGAGCGAGTGGAGCTTTAGCAGCCCCGATGACGCAGTGGGCCTATGAGTTCCGCACAAAATTGGCTGCGGGCACTCCGGATTCCAAGGCGCAAATGACGAGTGTTCTTGTCGCACAATATGGTCCAAGACTGATATTAACATCAGGTGCCCCGAACCGAGATCCCGTCATACAAGTGGTTTGCAGAAGCAATTTGAGGTGGCTCTGAGACAGCACCGTTTGGTTGCGACATCCATGAGGGAAGACCTCCGAGCTCTTGGGACATGGCCCATCCGCCATGCTGGGCCTGCATGAGGATTTTGTGAGACCCAAATGGATTACCCTACCAATGAACATGGAATCTGACAGGGAAATGCTCCCTTTATCAGGAAAATGGTCCAAACCAGGACCCCCCACCCACCCACGTCAGGTTGGATGTTAATTGGTGGGGGAGGTATTGACCCTCGGTTTCCCAGCAAGGGGACAGGTGAAACCCAGCTTCGTGTTTGTCCAGGATGTGTGCATCGCGGCTTGTTGGCAGTTGGTCACGCCCAGGACTTCAGAGCATGAAAGCAAGTGCCCTGTTTACATTTTCGCATTTGCCCGGCTCGTCCGAAGGCAACTTGACACAGCTGGCGGCTAAGAGCAATCCCCCTCCCCTGATTTCCGCCCAACCTTGGTGCAAGACACCGATGCAGAGCAATCACATGAGCTGGCGCTGCCCAACGTTTAAACTGAGAAATATGGACTCGCCAGCGCGTGCAAAGAATGGCAGCGATGCGACAGAACTCATGAAGCCGGAGGATCCGGAGGTTTAGCAGAGAACAATCTGAAATGTCATAATGTATTTTTATATATAGGCTTAAATTCAATGCACATTGCTACCTCAACTATTTCGGCAACACAACCATCACCAATCAGACAGTTGATCCCGTGTGAGTCTCGGGCCTTTACACGTGACCCCTGCCAGTCCTCCAGTGTGACACCAGGCTGCGATCCAGCCCATTGAGAAAGCGCCCGGGGCCTAAAGCACCCTTCAGGCTGCATCAAACGGCAGAGGTCTGCACTATCATCTTCAAACGCAGGGACCCGGCAGAAAAACACAAGCCCGTGCTTGGGTTGTTTCTTGCGTGTTCCTGTGATGTTTGCTGCCACAGACTGCATCCATACGGAACAAATCCTATTTGCACCTCCAAGTTGACGCCTTTATTTGCCGGCTCAGTAAAAGTAAAGAGGCATAAAGAGGCTCCATGAACTTTGCCTTTGGTTGAGCTACGAGTGCTGGTTTTATCCCTGCGTCATTTGCAACACCAATCTAAGCCCATCTCTGAAAGTGTCCAACCAGAGATGCAGCTGAGTCCTGGTTACCTACCAGGCGTCCCCGTAAGCCAAGATTGCCACCCTGGGGCAGCAAGCATCCATGCAAGTGTTTTTCCCAACTGAGGCACTTCTGTCAGGTGGGCGGACTTCGCAGACGAGGCAGCTGGACCTATTTAATTTGGCCCTTTGGGCCTTTGGTGTTATGGTTCGTACCACTGTCGCCGTCAGAATGCTGATTGCAAGCAGTTAAAGCTTTGGTCCAGATGGGAGCCCAACATCAGCATCCTGATCTGGTGCCCCTACGCTGTTTCACAGTTACACCCACTTTTTCTACCACGATTCTCTACAAAAGACGCACAAACAGCGCCTGGGGAACAAGCCATCATTAATGAGGCACAAGAGCTTTCCAGCGATAGAATAGAACAAACTTTGGACCTTGGATTGGGTGAAGCCAACCCTTGCCCATCCGCAGCGCCAGCTTTGGCGACTGGAGATGTTCGATGGAGAGCGAGAAAGAGAGTCAGCGCCATTTCACCAGGTCCTGAGGCCAGTGCCCCAGTCGCGCCGCACTTGTTATCCTGGAGTTTGGCTAACCTGGAGTTCTTGTGTAGGTTTGGCAAGGGTAGAGCTGGTTGAGTTTGCTGCCCCTAACGCAAGAATAGGACACTGCAGGTTTTCTCAAGCTATTGCCCTGCGCGGCTGTTCCGGAGTCGTTGTCCCAAACTCAACCACCAAATCATCAAACAACGGCACAACACCTCGAGACCCTATGCTACCGCTCAGCAACTGAACCAAAAGCAAATTTGCTCCAAGCCAACCCCGAAGTCTATCTCAGCACTTGCACCAGGTTCATCATGTTCCACAACAGTTGCCCCGTTGAATACGCTATGTCTTTTGGAAAATGTGTTTTTTCAGTTCAGCTGTCGCCCTCGTGTTGAAGCGAAGGGCCACTCGAGGTACCTTTGGATCGGCCCCCCCCCAGTCACGGATGTGGCCGTGGCCCGAGGAAAGACGTACAGAGGCAATGGCGCTTGGCATCCGAAGCCCGCATTCTCATAGGCACGGAGCCCATCACATGAGCCACATGAGCGTAGAAGGTGAGAAGGCTGTTCCGTCAAAATAAAGGTGCCTCAACATTGCCTTTGTTGAGGGATCACTCTTGGCCACCAGCAAACTCTCTGTCGTGTCTCTGGCTCGACCAGAAGAATAGGGCCGGCTGAGCTTTTGTGTTTAAAGGTTAGCGGCAGCTCAATCCAGCCAGGCTCACCTGATCTCGATTGTCCAGCATGTTTACCCTAGATATTTGCTTCCCGCTTCTCATGGCAGCCACTTGCCCAATGTGCCAACTGGTGTGATATGGGTGTTTGTACGCGCACTTGTGTTCCCACATCCTTTGGCGGCTGAACAAGGGTTAGGTGCAGCCAGCTGCTGCTGCTCCTTCAACATTTATTGTCGCCATTCATCGTGGGCCATTCATGCCAAATTGCATCTCTATCAAGCAGGACATTTTGACATTGACTTGGATTTTGCTACATAAACCCCAAACACGTACCAAAAGTTCAAAGAGTTCTGGCCAGTCACCTCATTATCAGTCAGGGCCTGTCGGCCAGTCAGAAGGCCGCCTATCGCTTTGGGCATCCTTCGTGCTCTTGCCGCGGTGGCTATGCAACCAATGATGACCAAGTTTGGACCTGGAGGGGGGCGGGGGGGTGGAGGTTGTTTTGCTATTTGAATGGTGTCCATTGCCTGAGAGGAAATGGGGTCATAGACATGCATCGAGAGGGCCCTTGTTTGCAGGGGCGCATGGTGCAGGGCTTGCCTGGGCAGCCTTTATGGAGGCCCGTGGCTTGCACCTTTGGACCTGGCAGTTGGGAGCCGCCACGCCGAAGCCAACGTTACCTCTATGTGGTGGTGCCCACTTTGGCATGTATCTCACTTCCCCAGCGCGACAGGATAAGTTAGGCTTGGTTTCCCAAATGTGGCAAGTGGGGAACTTGGCCCACCTTGCTATTTACTTTTTACCACATACCACCGACATTCTCTGCTGAACCGAATGCCGTGCCTTTTCCATGAATGCCCTGTCGAGCTGGCTCAGAGCGTGTCCCGTTTGGACGCGTGCTGGGAGCTAGGACGTGCCAAGGTTGCCAAAATGACGTTGAACGGGCAGGCAAGTTAAGGAAGCGTCAGGCCCTACTCCTTCAAAGGCATCCACCACAATGGCTTCCATGGCACAGCTTTCTTGACCTGCGGGCATACCGCCTCACCCCAAGAAAACGGCGGGGTGTCAGCAACTATGACATCGCAGGACAGCTTGAGCTCTTCAGCAACTCAGTGATAGCAAAAACCACACGTGAAAGCTGCATTTGGTTCAATGTAGACAATCATTTTATGGCTTTGTGATCACTAATGGCATCGCTGATTGTCAAGAGCCACGTTGCCTTTCTTGCGTTCTTGAATGTCGTTAGCCCTTGTTGTAGAATAATTCCAGTCAAACATATGATCCTCTAAGTTCTCAGACAGCGTGCGCCTTGCCTTACCTTTGCACCAACAGCACACAGACCAAGTCCTGCGCAGCTGTTTCCATGGAAGCCGTGGATGAAGAGGATGACTTGGCGCCCCCACCTCCACCTCCAGCTCCGCCGGTTGAAGAAGCACGTCGGCCTTCGGACTCTACCAAGCACAAAGGCAAGCAAGGTGCCTTGGATGGCAGGAACTGTAGAGCTGGCCAGCCTTGAGGAGTGTTTGCCGATACCTATGTACATAATATGTGATTTCTCGACACATGAACGAGTGCATATATATATATATATGTATGTATATATAGATATTTGGGTAAGCAAATGTATATACGCGTGTGGCCTTGATGCACTGATTTGGCCGTCCCTGCGAGAACTCCCAGCGTGGCTCGAAGCTTCCAATGTCCCCAGCCATGGAGCAACCAGAGTGCCTGCCTGGACAGGAGCAGGCGCACGAACTGGGAGTGGATGAAACTGTCCCTCCTATTGACTGAACCTGCGGGAGGACCCTTTGGGCCATCTTCAGGGCTCCCTGTCCCCACAGCAACAGGAAGCTCGCCTTTAAGGAAGAACGGCCTCAGCTAAATTGAAACGCGATCCCGCACTCAGAAGAGCGACCGGCCCTTGGTGGTTTGTTCACAGCGGTTGCCTCAGTAGTTAGGTCAAGGCCAGCCTTATCACCTGCGCTTGCAGCACCACCAGGTGATGCAAAAGCCAAAGTAAGGCAGAAATCAAAGGTGTGCCGAGGTTCCAGCACTAGCTCGCTTTTCCAACCACGCAATGGCTCTTAACTTCTGACTTCAGCCAACAAGAACAAAACATGCAAGCGCGGGCGCACAAACGCAAGGTTGAGCCATTTCTCGGGTGAAACGCCCAATCGGTTTGTTTGGGATGGACTTCTATTTTAGGTCTTCAAGCGGGCCCAGATAGCCAAGGAATGTGGAATGTGAAGAATTGAAGGAGCTATGATGTTTTGATGAACAAGAGCTTGGCTTGAAGGAAGCAAACCGGTTTGAGGCCGCAGATGAGTCAGGCGGCAAAGGCTGTAAAGGATGCCAATTGAAACCTCTGGCTTGGAATTTGAAGAGTGCAATCTTATCTTTTTGGGTAGGCGGCGTGGCGGTAGCTCAGCCTTCTCTGTGAAAGCCAGCTTGATTTGGGGAGTAGTTGAGTCTCAGCCATTCGTACTTGGCTGAGATTCGATGTGTAGCTTTTTCGACACTTGTACTTCTCCGTGTGGGTGTTGCATGAAAGTTTGAAAGGAGCAGTTCGTTACATCCAACAATGATGGCAGACAGCTGAAACCTTTGGTGACTCCAGGCTCGCAGGCAAACACGGAAGCCTGCTAGAAAATCGACGTTAGAGCAGAGAGAGAGAGAGAGGGCGAGAGTGAGAGCTAAGTTTTGGGCAAACCATAACGGCCTGAAAAGGGTGCTTGGGACCAGCCCTACAACCAGAGTTCGGTTTGCGGGTCTTCCGTTGTACAGTTTCATCTGCGGACCCTAAACGGGTTGTAGCAAACCGGTTCCTGCCTGCAGCAAAGGGCAGTAATGTCTGGTAGCCTAGAACCCCTTTCTTCAGAAGGCATTCCACGGGCTACCCAATTTGGTGGATCATAGTTCGCCCGTATCCCATGGGTCCAGGCGCAGCTCAGCGCGCCTCGACTGGCAATGAAGCGCGCCTTTCATGTCACAGCCGCTGCCCAGGTCCGAGGTTTGTCCAAGTAAACCTTAGCAACTGCCGCACAAATATCCAGCAAACCCTTGTAAGGTCTGGCGCGCGCTGGGAATCAAACCCTGTAAGCTGCACTAAAGCCTTTGCAAACCCTTGTGAGCACTTCTTGAGGGACTTAAATCGACCTTGAGCCGTGAACACGTGCGAGAGCCGAGGCCAGTGCCAAGCGCCGGCTGCGGCGGGAGCGCGCCGCACTCCGCGAGAGCGGGGGCCAGAGCATCGCGGAGCTTCAGCAAAGCATCTTTGCAGAGGCACGGCCACGGATTCTGCAGATTTTTCGAGCTCGCCGATTCGGCGGGAAGCCGAGCTTGCTAAGGATCCTTCACTTGGGGATCCCTTAAACCAGGTTTTGGCAATATTGTAAAAAGTTGTTGAAATTGCAGATCAACGGCGTGTGGTTGCCACAACATGTTGCCTACGTCCCAGTGGTTCTCCCACACCTAGAAGTAATGTTGATTCCTCCTTGCAATACTTGCGCTGCATGGCTTTGCATGCATGTCTCGCTCCTCACACTCCAAGCGGCTCATGTGGGATTTGACAAACGGATAGATTCACTGAGGTAGACCACTTTAGCAAACGGGGAACGTTTTGCCTAAAACCTCCCAAAACGTAGTTGCAGCTTAGTCAGGGTTGGACTCTTGCCTGGCCACTGAAAAACAATGAAGAGAGTTGCGACTTCCGAACGGGAGTTGCCAAAGTGTACTTTGCATACCACACTTGTACTAAAAGTTGTGACTTTCAAGACGGAACTGCCAAAGTGCGCTTCGTGCAATACACTTGTACTGAACATTGCGATTCTCAAGCCGGAGCTGCCAAAGTGCAAAAACACTGCAAAACGAAAAGGCCCCCAGAAAAGCAGACCAGGCAAAGGATGTGGTCGACCTCCTTCATGTTCGGGGGTCCTCTGAATATCTGTGGGCGCCCTTTTTGTTGCCTTGCTGAGTCAAGACGTTTCGGATGCAACGGGAGAGAGAGAAAGAAAGAAAGAAAGAAAGAAAGAAAACAAGAAAACAAGAAAACAAGAAAACAAGAAGGAAGGAAGGAAGGAAGGAAGGAAGGAAGGAAGGAAGGAAGGAAGGAAGGAAGGAAGGAAGGAAGGAAGGAAGGAAGGAAGGAAGGAAGGAAAGGAAGGAAGGAAGGAAGGAAGGAAGGAAAGGAAGGAAGGGAGGAGGAGGGAGGGAGGGAGGGAGGGAGGGAGGGAGGGAGGGAGAGAGGGAGGGAGGGAGGAAGGAAGGAAGAAAGGAGAGAGAGAGCGGGAGAGAGAGAGAGAGAAAGGATGTCGTCCGCTCCTCTCACATGATTGCCGTGCCTTGTGTTTCGTTTGAGGACGCCTGTTGAAGCCGGACTGCGAAGCTTGTAGATGTTGTTTCCGGGTTTCCCTCCCACTCGCCAACAGGGCGTGAGTTGAAAGACTCCTAGGAGCACAGGATCAGGTTCAACGCTATGGTGTTGAGAGAAAAAAATATGTGGGGGCCGGGCCAGGGCTTCTTGGCTGGGAGGTAGTGGGAAACGGTTGTGTAAATCAGATTTGCAAACGGCTTTTCACAGGCCCTGGAGGTAGTTTGAAAGATTGGCTTTAATCGGACGGAAGTTCTGTTTTCGCAAGGAATCCCAAAAAGAAAAGGGGATGGCCGGGCCGGTGTTAACCCTTGCGGAGGTAAATGGCAAGCGCCGTAGCAGGAGGGGGTAAAATCCCTTGAAAAGCAATCTTATTGACACGGATCCCGCCGGCAGTAAAAGCATTCAGGACGTCACTTGCCTCAGCGGCCGGGTTTGGAGCCTCTCCCGGGATCCTGTCGGTTGCCGGCTGGTGCAGGAGGCGCGTTTCCTCGTACTCCGACAGATGCTTGCCGGCCGGTGGGTCTTCGTCATGTTATCTCGCATGAACTGTGGTACGTAGTTTATGTAGCTCACACTGTGCAGTTTTTTTGAAACCTAGCTCAACCTGCACAAGTGCCTATTATAAGTATTTCTGCATCCTCCATCAGAGCTTCTGTCTCCCTCAATTTTGCAGTATTTGGGGGAGGAGCCGCAGTTCCGAGGAATTTGCTTTGTGTTTGGGCGAGTTTTTAAGACTGCTCAACGTACACAATCTATTCAGAAACTATTGCAAAACATGCAGAGCGAATGCAGCGAATGGTGTTTGACCCTCTTTGTTGTTTCTGCGACAGGCAATTCTGCCAACGCTAGTTCCGCAGATTGCACAAGATATGAGTTTTGACGTCAGCCAGCTGCAAGCCAACTGAATGTGTCGCTTTGAGTGGCTTTTTGTATTTCGTAAGGATGCGTCGACCAAGGGCCCTTCAAAGTGGGTTAGTTCCTTTTAACACTCCCCCCCCCCCAACAGTCCGCTCATCTCGACACATCGAAGCACGAGTTGCTGCACTGCAACTTATGCTCTTCGGCGCACGTCCATTGAGCAGACCAAGTTGCGTTTGCACTGGAAGGACACATTTGACACCAAGCAAACACTAGATGGGTATGTTTGGCAATGGGGATTCGTACCCCTCAAAATTGTGGTTTTGTTTGGGCGTCCTTGTGCAGAGGGCTCCTTAAAAGATACATGTTGCCCAATTGAAACATGGCTTTTTCCACCCAAATAAAGGGACGCCACCATTTACAAGGCAATGTTCAGGTGTATAACGCAAGGATCCCTGTGGGTTTCCCTTGGCACCCGCCGGAAAAAAGGGCACCCGAGCCTCACAAGCCTCGTCGTCACGACCTTAGGCGCTGGAGCTGGGCAACAAGGACGCGGCGGCTTTGGCGCAGGAGCTGAGGGGCCACGTGCTGGAGGCGAATTCCGAGAGGTGGCTGTGGTCGTCAAAAAACGGTACCCCAAATGGAACCCGAAGTGGAAACATGGACCAAAACCTGCGGTTTTCCTGTGGTTTAGTTCTGGAACATGGGCTAAAACCTGCGGTCCCCTGGTGGCGTAATTATGAACTCACTGGAAAAGCGGCAGGAGGGAATCATGGGTCAAAGGTGAGGTTGGCTGGAGGAGGCTGAAGCAGCATGTCATCCTTGAAAGGTGGCCTGTAGCGCCAGGGGAAGTAAATGAAACGTTTGGATGGGTCAAAATGAGACTCAGAAGCAATGCATCACAAGTCAACACAAGTAGCACAGCACATGTTTGCCGTGCAAGACTGGACGGAACATCAAGATACGTTGGTGGCAAGCAAGCTTTATGCACAACTCAGTCAACATGATTTCTGTTGCTGCCTCCTTTTTCTCCAACTCACGGGAGCCATTTATGCCATGAGGGTTCTCGTCGAGCTTGACCAACGACTCACTTGTTTGGCTGGATCCAAAGAGCCGGGAGCAGTGAGACGATGTGAAGCCTGCAAGACCTGGTCCTTTTTGATCCAGCGGCTGCAAGCCAGAAACGTGCTTTGTTTCACAAAGCCGACCTGCTAACTGTTTGATTTTCATGGTGTTGGTCCATTA